AATAACAATACTTATAGAATTTATATATTCCATCAAAAAATTGGAGAAGACGATTCATCCTTGTTTATGTACAATCATTTTACTGTACCGGTAATTTATGAATGGTATCACATGCGTATCACTCGCCATATGACTGCAGAAGATATCGGTATCACGTGCCATTCTAGTCATCTATGCATGTTCATTGCCAAATTATATTCTTCTAGTAGCGTAGAACCAACATGGGGCAAATTAAATTATTAAATGGAGTATTGGTGAATAATATATGAAAGCATATTGAGTATCCATTTTTTGTTGAAATAATCTTCTATGTTTATGATTTCATTTTGTTTATTGTGAAAATCTGTAAATTAAGCTCTCTTATTTGACTTCTAAATTTATAAAATATCGTAATACATTGATTTTGAAAAACTATCACTGGAATCGTCTTTATCGTCGGAACTTAAATTTATGACTAAAGGTTTAAACATTATTTTAATCATACCGTTCAAGCGATCCATATTAATTTCTTTCTTAATTACGTGAGAAATTGGATTCTGCCAATCTTTAGGTTTTATACGTTCTATACCAGTTTTTAATAAATGCGAACGTCGGCTATTTAAAATTTAATGTTTTTCGAGCCAAAAATTTTTTCACTTGCGCCCAAATTAGATCAATCAAATTGAATTTGCAGTAAGGGGAAACCTCAATAACGTAATATCAGGATTAAATATATTTTTGATGTTGTTTCTTTATAAGGTACATTAATTCCACTTTAAGCATCTAATTTAAAAAATGTTGATATTTCATCCAGAAGTCAGCTTCGCATATTTATTTTCATACTAGATATGGTCGAAATACGTACAACTTTACAGCTGTGCTAAAAAGCGTTATCTAGTACAATAACTGAGTTTGGTTATATACACTGTAACAGTTCAGCAAACTACTTTTTAATACATTCTGCATTTCCGTCCTCTACTATTTTTTTGATATAATCACAATAATACTGTTTCAAAAAGTTACTGTCACTTCCGGTATGGGTAACAATTAGGAACTGTTCTTTATTTCCTTTTTTTTTAACCTGTAGATAATCCCTATACAAAAGCTTGGAAATTACTCTTAACAGAAGTATCGTGCCACATTTTAAACACCGTGTATCCAGTATTCACCTACGTTTCATCTAGATAGTATATCTTTTTTACTTGCTCTGAACTCTTTAATACTAAATAAATAATGCCAGGACGCTATTGATATCCTACATCATGTGTCCAAAGGAAACTTCAGGTCTCATAAATTTTTTCGTAAAGTTTTACGACTGGTTAAAGGAATTTCCCCTTTTCCTCTTAATTTTGCAAAAACAGCTTTCTTTGTATAATCTGTTTTCGGTTACCGTTTTAAGAGCATGTAAGGAGCCTGTATTTGCAATTTCGCGTACAATGCGTTCAACTGCTGAAACATATACTCCAGGTAAAACAGACTAATGGCCTACGCCTTCATTTGTAAGAAGTGCCTGTTTCAGTCCATCATACACTTTTTATATATTAGTCTTTTTATTAGTTGAATGTCGGTAATATACACACAACCAAACTTATACGGAATCATCTATTATTTTTCAAAATTTTTGAGATATATAGACATTTTTTGTTTATGAATAAAACTCAGTCCTTATCAAATTTTTTAATGAAAAATAACCCACGTACTAACAGAAAAATTAATTAGTTGATAAGATGAGCACAACGGTATTTTTTTGGTTTCTGAAACGAAATGAGATTTAAATGTTTTATGGCCAAGAAGCAAAAACAAAACAAAAATTGGTATTTTTAATAATCCATGTTGCCAGCTCTATTCCATATGCAAGCTTCTATTCACCTTGGCATGCAACATTGTTTTGGGGTACCTATATTTTCCTATTCTGCTAATGCTGCATCAATAAGCTGTGCGACATTTCCTGCATTGTTTCGACAAGTTCTTACCCTTCTTGTGAGCTGGTCCTACAAGTGTTCGGTAGAATTAAGGTCTGGTGAACGTGCGTCATTCAAAAGCTATGACACTGTTTGTTTCAAGACATTCTCTAGCCACTCTGTGGTGTTGGTAGGTGTATTATCATGCATGAAGATAAAATTATCACCAATTGCAACTCTCCAAAGCCCAACGATTGGTTCCAGCACTAAATCAACATACCTCTAACCGGTTAAAGTTTGTTAAAGTGGTAAAAATGGAATTTTTACTTCCAGCAAAATACCTTCCTAGAACAATACTGTTACTTCTTGATATCTTGGGACATATATAGCAGCCTGGAGTCTTGCTTGTCTTCCTGAAGCTCTGAAAACCCGAATTCAACGGACATCTGATCTAAGGCCAATTCTGGTTTAATCCGAAAAAAGAACATTTTGCCAATTTTCAAATGTCCAGTTTTAGTGCTGAAGGCACCAATTTAGCCGGTCAATTTTATTTTTCCTTGATAACTATGGGACTCGTAACTCTCTTATACTCTACAACCCTCAAACACGAAGTCGTTTTCTTAAAAACCTGTATCTTCCAGAAGTTGCTGTTGTAACTCTAGTTGAGAAACACTTTTATTTTTGTAATTTGGCACACAAAGCAATCCTGTTGTTTAACTGTGACTTTTTGACGACTTTGTCTGGACCTGTTCTTAAGAGTTCCTAGTTCCAAATATCCTGCATATGTTTTCTATACAATACCCTGGGTAACGTCTACTACCTCTGCTACGTCTCTTTGGGGCATTCCTTGTTTATTGAGAGCAATAATTTTTCCCCTCTGCACATCTGTTAGTCCAACACAATGTATTTTTTTGTTTTTTGGACCGAAATAAAAGTACCGGATAAACGTGATTTTGCTACTGAACATAAAATTCACAATATAATAAACCGCAGCAGTCGTTTCTACTTTATAATCATGTTTGTTTAGAACAAAAAGTTGGATGCCAAATTGTTTCCTTATAAAAAGTTAATTCAGAAATACAGACTGATTCCATATAGGTTTGGTGGTGTGTATTTCTGTTTATTGGCCCATAATTCGCAGGTTTTTGATAGTTTGATTAAAATCGTGTTCACTACCTTTAGATGTAGATTGATTTTACATTTTTATAAAATTTGGAATTATGAGGACTTCGTCTGTGTTAACTTGTTGAGTGATCATTTTTTTATATTCCATCTAGAGATTGAAAAAAAAAACAGCCCTTGTATATAAAATATAATTATAAATATAAATAATATTTTTAAAATTTATTTTTTACAAGTAGTTTAAAAAGTTTAAAAAAACAAATTATTGAAAAACCCAGTATTGGAGATAACGAGTAAGTCATAAACCCTTAATTATTATTCAAACAGATCCTTAAAAGGCATGTGCTTAAGTAGAGATAAGGGATTTTGTGTAAAGTTAAAAAGTTAAAAATTAAAAAAAGGGAGGATATGTGATGAATATAATTGAAAATTGGTTTGAATTTGGAGGGAAATTAAAAAAATTCATATTAAAAATAGTAAAGTCACAATAGATCTTTAAGCCATTCGATGTTACTTTGCAAAACAAATTAAACATAATATGGGAAAAATAAAAAACCAAACTAAATTACTAATATTGTAATATAATGCGTTCTATCTTATATCATTTAGATCACACATCATTTAGATCACTTATAGTTTTGATCACAGATCATTTTGATCTGATGTTGATGATTTGTTATTTTTATCAATCATATGTCCTAATTTCGATAATTTTGGTTGGAATTTTTACTTAATTCATACATTTTTCCGTTCACCATTTTTTTGTGACATGAAATACCATTATTAACACAAAAAATGACGTATGCGAGCGTTTTTCACCTTTGTTTTAAATTACGTTTCAAGAGGGGTAAGAATTAATCTCCGCACTATATAATCCAATTTATAGTGTGCATGGGCTTTGAAAAAATAATATTCAATTATTGTAGTAGGTAATTAAATGCACCATATTTTTAACACATAGTTTTTAGTGGTCAATAAAAACAGATTTTTACTCGATTCAAAAATGCCGCATTTCATGTCCGCTCTGTTATAACAAAGAATTCTTGATTAAGTGTTCCATCAATTCAGTATGCTGCCGATGTTCGGCTTTCTGCTTTTGACGCATCCGGCATCAGTTCGATATCCATAAATGATGTATATATCATTTTTAAACCTCCTGAGCCCTTCGAACTCCTTAATAATTGACCTGTTGGATCCCGTTAAATATTTATGCACAACGACCATACAATTTGAAATTTTAAGTCCCATACACATCATGCGAAACCCGTACATTAATAAATAATGGCTAAGGGTCTCTATGATCTTTATTAGTAATAAAATTAATGTAGGAACCAGATTCAATTTTACGGCAGCGTGAAAGGGCCATAAAATATATTTCTTCTACGATCACTAACCAAAGTAGGTATTTGCGCTTCGAAATACAACCGCAAAGTTGACGTTTTCCGCAAACTGCTTAATGTCAGTAGTGGTGCAAAGGAATGAATTTAAAGAAATACCAATTTTCATTTTAATTTAACTAGCACGACACTGCGCAACTTTTGTCTAATTTAACCAACTTCTTTTAAGAAATGGCAATACTATTCCTATGAAATAGTAGGGACCCCGTACAGTTATATTTTTATAGTACTTGTTTCAATTCCGTAGATGTTACTCATGGCGAGTCTAAGTGACAAAAACAAAATATATGCCAAATTTCAAGATGATGATGATATTTAGGGGTTGCACACATTGATCTAAAAGTGGTAAAATTTCTAATATTGACTTGTTTTATACTAGTGATCTTAACATGTATTTATTTCATCTTTTGCAAGTAATTAAGCTTTAAATGGGAATCAAAAGAGGAATTTGGTTGCTAGAAAAGGTGCCTAGTAGTGAGTTTTTAGGAGCTCCACTTCCTTTAAAGGAATAAGTACTATTAGTTTTTATTTACCATCATAAGGATATGAAAGAAACACTTTTGGAAGCTGCTAAATCTACTAGTACTAAACTACAGGAAGTGTGGAGCAAAGCAGGTATCCCTGTTAAGACAGAGGAGAATATACGTGCTGGTATACAGAAGCTATACAATGAATTCCAAAATCTAGGTAAAGAGAAATCTAGAAACACCGATGAAGCTAACATGAAACGGCAGATTTGGAAAGGTGATCTTGCGAGTTATTTGACATTTCCTGGCAAAATGTAATGGAAATGACAAGCTTATCGGAAGAAGATAAAGCATTTCTTAGATCACAAAGAGAAGACCAAATAAGTTCATCAATGACTGGAGTAGACAAGGTTGTCGTTTCCAAAATAAGAACTAAATGTTTAAAAAAAGACAAAAATGATTTATATAAGAATAAACATTACAGAGCTATAGCTCAAATGAATAAGACAGTAATACTGGATGACGTATCTTCATCATCATCATCCGCACCTAGTGACGACGAGGACGAATGTTTGCCTCCAGCAAAGAAAAAACTACTTTTAAGTCCTAGATTAAAACTTTTGGATCAAACACTCACGTCTACTTGGGATCGAGAATAACTTTCTATTAGGCAAGCAAGTATCTCTATTATAGCAACTGCAAAGAGCCTTGGCCACGATGTTTAAAAAATTTTCGTATCTCCATCCACCATTTACCGAGCTCTGGTGGTCAATAGAAGAAAAATGGCAAAGAAAATCAAAGAGGTGCTTTTTTAAAGTCCTTCTCCTTTGGTCTTGCATTAAGATAGTAAATTGTTGCCCTCAGTTGCCTATGAAATTGTCAAAACTTTAACAGATAGAGTTGCAGTTCTAGTGACTGGCAAATATTTTGAGCATTTGCTTGGAGTGCCTGTTGCCCAGAAAGGCACCAGTGAGAAATGGCTGAAGTAGTTATTCGGGAAATGCACCGATTTGGATTAAGTGACAATATCATCAGTATGTCTTTTGATACTATATCGACTAATACAGGACTGATCCAAGGGGCATGTACCAGAATTGAAAGGCAATTAGGATGAACACTGTTGTGGTTGGCTTGCCGTCATCACGCTCAAACTGAAGTATTAAAAGAATTGTTTAAGGAGTGTTGTAACATACCATCAAGTGGTCCTGATATCCAAGTCTTTCAAAAGTTCCAAAATATGTGGGCTTCACTCGATAAAAAATCATATACGACAATGCTGGATGAGGAACGTATCGTTCGAGGCTTTATAAAAGAACAACGAGTGAAAATTATTAATAACTTACAAAATGTCCCACATTGCCGATCGTTCTTGAGCTGCATCCTCCAGACAAAGACTTTTACCTCATATTGTTCCACAACAGTTTCTTCATAGCATTTAAACTATTTAGAAAAAACAAAATAGGCTTATTTAAATTGTACTTGAAGTCATAAATTAGCAAGAAAGCGGCAGTGATCTTTTATAAATGCTCTTCCACTCACGGCGAGGTTAAATTGGCTGGGAGGATGCGCTTTCTCAAATGGTATAGGACAGCAGCAAGACAAACCTCCCTTGACTAGTACCGCTTCCATTTGTTTATAATGTCCGTGGCAAATATTAAGCCTAACATCAGGTCCCTTCCACCAACTGAGAGCGCAGCTAAACAGCATTTCTGGCACACCTACCTCCAAGTGTGGCAATTGCTCGAAAATGAGCTTCCCCTTCAAGAGTGGGACTGGAAACATGTAATATACACCCCAGTGCCAATTACAACAGAAGATCTACTAGCACTAAAAACGATATTTTGCCGCTGCACCAAGGAGTGTGGTAGTACCAAATGTGGATGCCGGAAGCAATGTTGAACTCTTCTGCGGCGTGGTTTCACTGCAAAGGAAAATGCCTCAATGACATACCTGTTGACGTGGATGACTATGAAGACCAGCAAGAATTATTCACCACTGAGGATGAGGCTGATATGGACAAGGAACCCTTGCTAGGGCCCTCACGGCCGAAGAAGATGAAAATGTGAATCCATAGCAAGTAAACTTTAAGTAAACATTGCCTTTATTGGCATAGAGATGTTGATAACATATTGACTGCTTTCATTGGTTCTAAGTAGATAGTTAAGTTCGTTTGTTTTTATCAATACAATACACCACAATGTTAAACTTACTAAAAAAATTGAGAAGAATAAGTCAATAAATTTTTTAGACTTTAATATTAAAATTAATAAAGTCCATAGTTTTAATATATTTCATAAGCCATCACATACTGATATTACAATACGTATTAGTTCATTTCATCCATATAAACAAAAGTTAACAACATACAGCAGTATGATTCATAGGTTAGTTGTTAATATTCCGCTTACCAAAGAGAACTTCACAAAGGAATTAAATATCATTTAAAAAATTCCAGTAAAAAATATTTTTTATTCATTCTACAAATTTTGGACTAAAAACTTTAAAGGTGTTATTCAACAAGTTTATCCTTTATTTAAATAATAAATTATAGCTATAAGGCTATCACATATAAAGGAACCCCCAGTAAAAAGGTATCATACATAAAAAAACAAAATAACGTAGCTGTCAAAACCGATAATACGCTTGGGAAGTATATTAATAACAATAAGGGCAAAATTAATCCCAATAATAAATCAGGAGTATATATTATTAACAAAAATAATTTTACTTTCTTACACCTTCTAACTAAGGTCATTAAGATCTCACTCACGAATATTGGAACCTTTATGCTTTTTCTTGGCGCCCTACATAATTTAATGAGCCCATTTGAGCTTGCTCCTACGAACAAGAATACTGTAAAAAAAGGTAAAGGATGTTTATTTCATTCTCCCAATTAGGATTTAGCTTGAAGGGATCAAGAATCGGATGTGAGGGGATGGGTTGGAAGTAATAGTCGTAGGTATTAAAAAGAATGTTTTTTTTTTGGTTGCACTTTTATTATTCAGCCAGTAACTTAATAAATATATAACGATTTTGTAAAATAAACAACGGCAACAAAACTATTCAATCGTGAAAAAACTAATATATATTACAGAACAGTAAAAAATAAAATGCTTTAAAAGGGAAATTAACAAGGACACATGTATGTGATATTTAAATTTTACTAATTAAGCTAGCTCCAACTCGATTCTTTCGACTTTATTCGTATCCTCCTTTTTAAAAATATCTTTCTCTTAGAGTCACTGGAAAATGTCGGTGACAAACGTAATAAACTATGTTTGCCTCTTCGGCATGGGTATTGATACATACAGTATTATTATTAATATTTTCGCGAAAAAAAACTGCCTATAACTAACAGTCTGCATTTTAGTATAAATTACACGTCAGCTTTAGTATTTGAGGGTTTGAATCTAATAACCGCGTATCTGGAGGCCAGAGAATTATTCACTAGATTATATGCTTCGCCGACGCGTATTGAATACAAACTTATCAGCCATTGTATTCCAGATTGTTCCAGGCTTTAAGAGGATATGTGTAACAATCGCCAAAATGCTGTTTCATGGAGTTTACAATATAATCTACACAACAAGTTATCTAATAACAATTTACTCGAACAGCTAAACATTAAAGGTAGTTAGTTGGTACGAAATTAATTTACATCTAGCTCGGATCAGTTGCATACATAGCTATTTATCTCTGATATCAACTATCAACAAATTAGATTGCTTAATTATTATTTTGAATATATCGCTCACAATGTAATAACTTTTTATACTATTAGTTGATTAATATTCGATAATCATATATCTTGCACTAATAATAGCTAATACTCATACTTTGTACATCTGGATGGTGTTAAACAACAACAAATTATTCTACATTTTTTCCAAAACGACGTTATCTCACTTCACTGTCTCCAAGAACTATACGATTTTGAGTTATCCCTCATTTTTTCGATTACTTAGGTGTTTTGTTTGTCTTATTTTTAATCAGAGAATCTTTAGTTGTTTTGTGTCTTATGCTTAATAAGATACCTTGTATATATTGTATTGTGAGCCATTTCAGACCAATCTGACCGTCCTCTGATCCTTTGGGTTCCTCTGCCTTGTTTGGGCCTTGTAAAGGACCTTTTTGTCCTTAAAATATTTAATGAAGGGTATAAACCCTCTTTACAAAACTATAGGGATGCCTATTTGCACAAATAGCTGGTTAAATCATTCGTTCGGGAATGTTCTAGAAGTAAATTCGAGAAATTTTTAGAGTCGCCCGTATAATAAATGGTAAAAACAAGAATAATCTATCGCATAACCCAATTTATAAATAAATGGGCTGTGTTGCACAGGAAGTCAGTCAGTAGAAATCATAGCAGTAAGAACACTGATAAAGTTAATTTCATTTAAATTAGTATAAAGTAATGGAACCCATTTCTGACATACCCTCAACAATTGACAATTTAATAGAAAATATATAAAAATAAGAAAAACTTCCAAGTTCTGATAACTCTGAGAACGGTTATTAGTCATTTGAACTACTATTATGTTGCAGTTGGCATCCTTGATTTCTTACACCAAACTGTCATAACTGTTAGTAGATTTTATTATGTTACTTTATTGTTACCCGCGTTTCAACGGATTTCCTTAGTATATTTGTTAAGAATCACAGATTAATTTTAAGCGTATTTTTAGTAAAATGTTGTTTCAATTCCAGGTAAATTAATTTTGTATACCTTAAATGGTTTCTTAGAATAAACTATTATTACAGAGAAATAGGGAGTGACTAATTTTTTAGGTTAGAAGAGGGGCGTCAGCTAAAGGTTCCTGAATAATATTCATTGCCCTAGAGCTGACAGTGATGTCAGGAATTGGTAATACGCTAGTTCAAGGGGCGTTTGATTTGAAACTCGATCGAGCGAGCGTCGAGGAGACCGAGAAGTGATGACGTCACAATAGAGCATTGAATCAAATCAAATAAAACAGAGTAAAAAACATAACCTCGCTTTTTTGTGATTCTTGTTTCTGGTTTGTATGTTAAAATAGTGAACAAAAAGTAAAGAAAATGGAAAAACTTTTAATAATAAGGGGTAATGGCCCAGAAATGCAGCATTTTACCACAAATGCCCGCTTCGCTCTCCTACACCATGACTGTGATTACTGGTGATTAGATCTGGACAGAAAAAATGTATTTTCCAAACACACATTTTGTGTTTTTTTATAATGAATAATTTTAGCTTTAAGACAAAAGCGGCTAAGTAATTTGTTGACTTCTTGTCTGGTCTTTAATTTTGAGATTCAAATTTGTTTGTAAGTTAATTAAAAAGAGATAGGTAGAAACAAAGACAAATTTCTCCCTCTTCTCGATCTTTCTGCTCTGAGAACATCGAGCTCGCTCTATGTTCTCGCTCCAAAGCGAAACAAACACTTTAGGGATCTCTCGGAGTGTCAATTCAAACACTTTTGAAATGCTCGGAGATCTCCGATGATCAAATCAAACGCACCATCAGTGATAATGTAATTATGGTTCCACTGACAATTAAAGTGACAGTAGATTTTTTGAGTGCGTTTTGTTTACCTAAATTATATCGTTTTTTCACCTTTATAAATATATTCCTAAAGTAAATAACATGCATCAAATATACAATCGTTTAGTTACCAATTACATA